GAATGAATTTTATGGTACGCAAATTATATTTTAATTAAAAAAAAAACTATCATATACCAGTTCTCAACTCCGAGTTAATATCTAACAAGATGTGTCCGGATAGCAGTAGGGTAGAATTTAAAGATAAATACACCTAAGTGCATTAAGGTGTGAAATTCTACCTAAAAGGTCATAACCTCTCTTTCAATTCCAAGAAACTCTATTAACATCACCCAACTCCATCTCACCCTCCCCCCACAAAAGCATGATAAAAGTAAAGCATGGGATCACCTGGAATTAGTATCTCCACAGCAGTTCTCAACCAGGGGTGATTTTGCTCCCTATGAGACATTTTTGGTTTTAACAAATAGGTGTGTGCTATTGGCATCTAGTAGGTAGAGGCCAGGGATGTTATTTTTAATGTCCTACAATGCACAGGGCACTGCCACAAAGAATTCTCCAACCCCAAACGTCAATAATACTAAAATTAAAAATCCCTGCTCAAGAGCAGTGGTTCTCAAGGTATGTGGTCCCCAAGCCACTAACAATTGCATCATCTGGAAACTTGTTAGCAATCAGAATCTCAGGCCCCAGCCCAGACCTACTGAATTACAAACTCTGGACATGGGGCCTAGCAATCAGTGTTTTAATGAACCCTCTAACAATGCTAATCAATACCAAAGCCTAAGAACCACTTGAATGAATGCAATTGAAACAGAGATAAAGTCACACTTATCCAAAGTCACCCATACTGAGTATGAAACAAAAATAGGATTTGAACCCAGGTTCAAATGTCAGAACCTATGCTCTTATCTACCATTTTATATTCACCCTCAATTTTTAAAAAAGAAAAATAATGCTTTTAAAAAATGTGCTTTAACTTCTATACACTGATTATTCCTCCATCACAGAACAAAAATTGTTGGTAGAATGGAGTTACGCAGAGAGAATGGAAGGTGGGAAATACCATCACAAAAATGATACCTTCCCCAAGTCTATACACTAGTACACATTTTATTGGCTGTTAGGTAATATGAAAATTACAAGGGTATGCTAATCTTGCTGGGTTTCCCACAAGAAATGTACTTAGCCTATGTGAGGATTCTTTTCCCACTTAACTTCTTGCCATTAACCGGTAGCATCCCAGACTCTTTCTGGTTTTTCAGTCTCTAAAACCTAAGAAAGAACAATCTTTTCATGTAAAGTTCAAGAAATTAGGCTTGATAGGTGTAATAGGAAGGGCAGATTTCTTGAACCGGTAAGAACACAATTTGACTCAGAGGGTGGGGAGAGGAGGTAGAGTGGAAATTTTCAAGCACATCCTGCTGAACTTGCTTGCTGCATAAACTCTGATTTGGAATTTAAGCTTAAGGTGTTTTCCACCAGTAGGATACTGTCTTCTCCTAAGTATTCCTCTTTCAACAAAAATTTGGAACATTTGATTCTTGGGCTAGTAGGTGCTCTGATACAATAGCAATTTATCCAGCATTTAATGCAATTTAATGTCCACAGAAATGAATTCTGGATAGGTGACTAATAGTCATCCCTTTTAGGTGCCTGAGGTTTTATTATTTTAACTATTCCTAGTGGAAGAATTTCTAAAGTGTACGATCTACCTCTTATCTAGTACTAAATGCTATGTAGTGAAAATAAAACTTTTGATATTCAAGATGATAGTTATGATCTTCAATAATTGAGCATGGAGGTTCTTGAATTCTGTAAGGCTGTCAGCTCAGAGAATGAATCACGCAGGGCTGAGCTTTCAGTTCTTGGATCTTCTAGGTCACTGGCAGCTGTCTGTACCTTGCCGAGTGTTGCAGTTACCTCCTAACCTTCTGTGTGCACAGCACCCACATGTGGCTATAAGTTTATGCAGAGTCAATTAGTCCAAATGGGAGTCTTGTCTTTTTAAGTAGGTTCCATGCCAACTGCGGGGCTTGAACTCACTGCCCTGAGACTGAGAATCACATGTTCTACTGACTGAGCCAGCCAGGTGCGCCAATGGGTTTCACTTTGGAGTGTATTGCATACATTTTTTCCCCTACACTTGGTTTTGGAATTGTTTTCAGCATAAGCTGGCCTCCAGATATGAGGGGAATTACTAGACTAAACGTATACTTAGCTACTTCATTTTCTGCATAAACATTTATTCTGTTTTTTATAATGACAACTTAAAGAGAAGCCAGCATTTAACTCTATTTTGAAACATTTCAATGCATAAGGTTTTAAAATGTTTCCAAATCTTAGAATTGTACATCTTTGTGTAGACTCTGCCCTCAAATCACTAATCTTTTCTCCAGAAATTTTCCTTGTGACATTTCAAAAATTCTTTTCCACAACACCATATTCCCTGACCTCTCTCCATATCTGATAACCTGGATTTTCTGTTTTCTTGACATTTACCAGATTCTAAATAGATGCTCTCATACTGTGTGCTTCTCTTAGTATCCCTTCAAACTTCCCTCTAAGACTCTTCCTCTATATTTTTATTAGCATTTCTCAAATAACTGCAATGATCATCTTTTTGCAGATGCCCTTCAAATACACCTGTTTTTAAGACTTGTCTTTCTAGACTTTAAACAATGCAGCCCTACTTCAGATTGTTAGCTTCCTCATCTTTGCCTATTGCCTTTTTCTAGCATTGAGGGAGGAACTTAACTTGTACAGACTCAAAAGGCACACCTTAAGATCCTCAATCTTCTGTTTTTACAACCTCTGCCAAATCTATTCCCTCCACAGTATCAAAGAATGTGTTCATTCTTTTCCTTTATCTCTCCCCTGCCTTGGCCACATTATGCAGCTTAGCAGTTTTTGTTCTCTAAAATATAGTGAAACCCATCTTCTCATCTAAAGTTGGAATCCACTATATTTGTAAGCTGTATATTAACTATATATTATTGCAAAAAACAAAAACACCCCGAAATCCCAAGAATAGCCTAACATAAAAGTTACAGAATATATCAAGCCCTACCAGTGTATATATTGTTTCGGAAGACATAATTTGATTCCTGACAGAGAACACATTATGAAAATCTCAGAGTAGGGGCGCCTGGGTGGCCCAGTCGGTTAAGCATCTGCTTTCAGCTCAGGTCATGATCTCGGGGTCCTTGGAAGGAGCTCCGTGTGGGGCTCCCAGCTCATCAGGGGAGTCTGCTTCTCCCTCTCCCTCTGCTGGTGTTCGCTCTCTCAAATAAATAAATAAAATCTAAAAAAAAGAGCAAAACTCAGTATTTACACTACCTTTGTTACAACCTACCTAAGGCAATGCTTCTCTAACCTTTCCATGGAAGTGCCCCCACATAGGAAAGTGACATCCGTATTTTAGGGATCTGAACTTATAAATCAAGGCACCACTGAACAGAATTTCTTTGACATCTGTATCTTACTTTTAACATTAATCCAAATGCTGTAGTCACCTCAATAAATATAATTAGTGTCTTATTCTAGAAATGACATTTAACATTTTTAGCAGTGAGTAAAACTCCCGGAAAAAGCACTAGGTTTATCCCGTGGCTCTGCAGACCTCTATACATAAAAACACACACGCCCCCACCCCCCAAAAAACTGACACCAAGGTTTTTGAAACACAGCCTGGGTTTTAGGTCCGGCTCTCGAAGAGGCTGCTAAAGGCACAATTATTAGCATTAGAACTAAACAGGTATTTACTTTAAAACATGACAATTTTAGTAACTTTAAGATTAGAAGCCCACAACGTCGCCCCAAATTGTCCACGTCCATTAGTGATTCCCACATATCTTCCAGATTTGTTTTTCTATTTATACCTTTAATAAGTATCTCCACACCGCTTACTTTCTAATCTCTGACGTGCACCTCGCATTTTAAATACCGTCTCTGGGTGCCTTTTCGTATTTTTCCTACCCTCCCTTCAAAGTACTTTTCTCTTCCAGGGGGCCTGGCTCATCCGTCAAGGGGCTACCCTCAGTCCTCCGCGAACGCTACAACAAAGGCGAGGAACGTCGTAACCAGGGGTCCCGAGTGCCTCTACCGGCTGCGCCGGGCGCAGAGACAGCCAACGCTTTGGTGTCCCTGGCAGCGCGAGAGGGAAGCGCCAGCGCTTCATCAGCTGCAAACAACAACAATCCTAATCGCAGTGCCGCCTGCACCCCATCATTAGGCTCCACCGGGCCGGTTTCCCCTCGGAGGGCAGCCAACACCTCAAGCCCGGCAAGTTTCCCCCCGACCTGGGGCCGAGCACCCCTCGCGCCCGGCCGCTCCCCGCCGCCCCCCGGCCGGCCCGGCCGCTGGGGTAGACGCGGCCCGCACCGGCGTCCCCCGGCTCCGCCCGCCCCAGGCCCCGGATGTGACGGCACCGCCGCCCTTGGCGCTCGCCCCCCGCGACAAGCGTGGGGGATCCCGGAAAGGAGGCCTGGGGGAGGGGGTCTTCCCCCGACCCGCCAGTCATCACATACCCAAGTGAGAAGGCTCTCGCACAGCTCCACCCGCTCCACCGACTCCACGTTGAACATCTTCACTAGCTGGGGCTTGGCAGCGCCTCCCCACCTCACCAGAAACCGCTGCCGCTCGGTTTGGGGCTGCGTCGGAGGGTCCGGGCAGCTGACCTGGCCTCTGGCCCACCTTCTCCTCGGGCCCGGGCCGCCGACTACCGCCCGGGCGCTGCCAGCGGCTCTCGCACCGTCACCCCCGCTGCCCCTCCTTCTCCTTTCACGCGGGACCGCGCGCCCGCCGCGCGCGCCCCCGGCCACGCCCGCAGCCCCGCGTCCCCGCCTCCAGCCCCCCCCACCCCTCCTCCGGAGAGCGATGGCCCTGGCCAGAGCGGCGGCCGACGAGCCACTGCGCACAATCGCGCTCCGGCCGGCCCGCCTCCCCGCCGCCCGCGCGCGCCCCGACGCCGGCCCACTGCGTGTCGCCGCGCGCACGCGCCCGGCCCTGGCGGTGGCGGCGGCGGCAGCGGCGGCGGCGGCGGCGGCGGGTCCCCACGCCTGTCCGCTCGAACTCTCACGGAAGCTCGGCAGTGCGCGTGCGCCAGTGTCCGCACTCCACATTAAAAAAAGAGACAGCTAGTGGTTGCCCGGGAGGGGTGGCGGGGGCCGTGCCCGGAAATAATCTCTATTCTCAGTCACCGGGAATTGGCGAGGTATCCTCTACGGTGGAGAGGTACGCGCCCCCTCCCCCTCCCAGCCGCCGGGCCGCGGCCGGCCACGCCCACCCGGATCCGGGCCCGCGGGAGCTGCCGGCAGGGCTCCGGCGTGGGCGGGACTGCCCCGGGGTACCCTTCGGGCTTCGCGGCGGGGGCAGTCACTGCTTCTGACCCCGGGGCTCCGCCTTCCTTCAGGAAGCCCCGGGCTAAGCCCCAGAGTCGCCCAGCTGCCGCCCGGAATTCCGGGGACGGTGGAAGGGCCGACGTGGCGGGCGTCTCGTGATTCTAGGTGCTTGGCCGGGTGAGGAGAGCCGGCCGTTCCTTCCTGGGTCGTGGGTGAGCGTCGACTCCCTGAAAACTTCGGTTACTTAAGTAGGGAGAGGGTGTGCGCCAGTTGTTAGTCCGTGAGGACCTCGGCAGTTCTAGGGCCTGTTTCTCCTAGTGCAGAGCTGGGGGTTGGTCTTCGTGTTTAATGGCTTGGTGGATGGTCCGCCAGCGAGCACCCACCTTTTTAGAGGCGTGGATTTGTGCAGGAATACCAATATATTTTCATATGCTATAACATATGCAGAAAAGTGCATACAACGTACATGGTTAAAGAAAAATAATAATAAACACCCAGATAAAAACAAAAGAACACTGCCCATACCTCGAGTTCTACCCACACCTAGTGTTCCTTCCTGAGAACAATTCCCTCTCTCGACTGACTTTTATGATACTTTCTTGCTTTTCTTATAGCTTTACTGTCTGTATATGCATGCCTAAACAATATAGTTTTGTTTTATATGTTTCTGATTTTTTTAAAGGATCCATTTGAAATGTGAATGGATCTTAGTGTATGCATGCCTAAACAATATAGTTTTACTTTGCTTGTTTTTGAACTTTTATGAATGGGATCAGTGTATTTTATGGCTTTGAATTTATAGTAAATTTGTGTGTATCTGTAGGTAATTTTTATTGCTGTCTAGTATTCCACTGTATGATTATAACAGCGTATCCATTCTGTTAATGGACATTTTGTTCCAGTTTGGGGCTACTAAAAACAGTGCTGTAAGCATTCTTAAACCTGGATACTAGTGCAAATGTGTAGGGGGTTTCTTTAGGATACATACCTTGGAGTCCTAGGAGAGTCGTTGAATCATAGCATATACATAACTTTACCAGTTAATGCCAAACTTACTTGGAGTGCAGCAAAAACTTCCTAGAGCACATCTTTACTTTGGTTTGCGAGTTCCTGGAGCCTCCCCTTTTCCCATTAGGAGTAGGTTTTGTCATTGAGCATTCGGAATTGGAGTGAATTTTTAACGATGCGTTACTGAGTACCAATTAACAGTTCACATGTGTTGAATGTATCATTTTGTAAATGTAAAAGAATCTTACCTAGAGTCTTCTCAATGGTCTTTTTAAAAAATTAATTCTTCCCCCCACCAAGGGCAGAGAAATCTTTAGAAATGATAAATGTGTCTCACCTGCCTTTGTTTCCTCTGTTGGTGCTTCTGGATCTGTCAAACCAGAGTTCCTACATTCCATACTAGGTTGTTTCTGTAGAATCCCTAGCACTTTAATGACCATTACCCTTGTTAGGAACGTAAAATCAGTAAGTACATGTTAAAATGACTTAAGCCTGACTCACCTGCAACTTGTCTTTGGAAGTGAAGAACAAGATGCTAGCCTTTTCTGGAGGGACTGTGGTGTAGTGAACACCTTCACTCCAGCTGTTCAGGTTTTCGAGGCTTTGACACAAATGACCTAAGCCTCCCTTTTCAATCTTGACTGCTCACTCACAGTGCATTTATGTATGATACTGCAGTGTTCTTGAGATTTCATTTGTGGCTCCAATTACCCTCAATGAAAGAGATTATATTAAAAGCTTCTTGGATGTAATTGTCTGCGGAAGTCATGTGATCATCATGTTTTACGTGAACTTGGGTAAAACGACTGAGTTTCTCCTTTGGAAGTTATGGAATTTCTATATTTCCTTTATTCTTATTTTTTTTCTGAAAGTTTTGGAAAAGACCAAAGAGAGAGGTGAGTGCAACTTGTCTTAGCCATCTCCTTACTGTAGTTAGTTGGAGACTAGTTCTCATCTATAGCTGTTTATCAGACTTATTTATTTATTTTTAAAGCTGTTTATCGGATTTAAATAAACACGGTAGTGTCCTGCGTGGCAGTGTTCCCAAGTTTATGCTGTCTTCCCAGGGAATACCTATTTAGAGCTTTGATTAAAGAGAATTTGAGATGCAACATAGTGCAGCAATGGGGAAGGCACAGCTAAGTTTTATAATGGTTCTTGACAGTTGTTAATAATAGTAATCAAGAGGTGCCTGGCTGGCTCAGTTTGTTGGGCATGTGACTCTTGATCTTGGGGTTGTAAGTTTGAGGCCCACGTTGGGTGTAGAGATTACTTTAAAAAATAAAATCTATAAAAAATTAGTAATCAAAATATTATAGCTTCCATTTACTGAGAGCCTATACGATGTGCCAAGCAATATGCTAAATACTCTACCTCCATTATCTCGTTATAATCTCCATAAAACAAAGAGCTTTTTTTTTTTTTGGTCAAACAAATGGGCATTTGAGGGGTGCCTGGCTGGCTAATTAGGTAGAGCATGCGACTCTTGCTCTCGGTGTTGTGAGTTCGAGCCCACATTGGGTGTGGAGGTTACTTAAAAGTGGGCATTTGGTTAAAATTAATTTTATGTATTTTACATATGAAGAAGCTGAGATGCAAACCACATAAGTACACAGTTGTCTGCCTCCAAAGTTTATGGTTCTCTGACATACTAAGCTACTCCTCAATAAGGCTTAGCTAGTTAATAGCAAATCAAAGCTAGAAACCAGTTCACTTCAGCCTTCTATCAGTTACACCACAGTTTCCAAGATCTGTGGTGTTTTGTTTCTGTGAATCTCAAATAGTAAAAATGAAGTCCTGGTGACTCTTACTTTCATATTTGTAATGGGGGGAGGAACTTAAGAAATCCTCAAGCCCAGTTTTTACATTTTGCAGAAAATGAAAGTCCTTAGAGATTAAGCGAGGACACAGTTGTGGTAGTAGAACTGGAACTAAAATCTGGGCTGTTAATGTCCAAGCAGGCTTGAGTTGAGAACCAGTGCTATGGGGCAAAACCATCAGCACAGTTCTGGTCTAGACAAGACCTGACTCTGTAATGCACAAGTTGGACAACTGAAATTCAGATTGAAAAGACTGACTTTTCAAGATTGAGGTATTATGTCGTCTCAAGTAGAAAATTTTCTTTTTATTGTTTATCCTCTGTAATCTTAGATCAGCATCTTACCCAATTTTTGAGCTGTTAACTCCTACAGTTCCATTTTAAAACTGATTATAATAAAAACTACTAGTGGAAATTGAGCTATTGGAAGCCCCCAACAAGATCAGTCATTAGTAGTTCCCCGTGTGAGAGCTCTGGGTTTAGCTGGGGTTTCCATGTGACAGGAAAATGCACCTGACCTCTCTGTTCCTCTCAGAAATTTATCAGCAGCTTCTTCCCCCACTCCCCTCTCTGCCCAAACACTTTCTTTCAGGATACCAGAATTTGTGGAAGTAAAAAATAACTCTTCATTTCAATAACATTGGGAACTTCTATAAAATGATGCAAATAATATTATATGGCTCTGCAATACTTAGAGCATCCTGGATCTCTGAGCTCTTGGAACTGTGCTTGAAGCAATATCATAAGCAATATCTTATTTGCAAAGAAGTTAAATATACAGCAGAATGAAAAAACATAATTTGTACAGTGGAATTTACTCACATTACCATTAATTACACTTGGAAGGACGCAGAAACAAATGTAATCCATTAAAAAATACACAAAGGAGTCTGGGGGAGAAAAGATATCACCCTACCCTATTAGGTTCTTGGCTGAGACTCCCCTGTAATAAAAGACATTAACAAGAAAAAAACAGAAGCTTAATCATTTGTATACTTCCCGGGTACATGGGAGGTACCCAGGAAAATGGCCCAAGCGGTCACATTAAATACCACCTTCAGCTAAAGACAAAAGAAAGATGCTGGGGGTGGGGGGACACAGTTATGGGAAGTTACCAGGAAAAGTACAGTAAACAAGGGTAAAGTTATGCAGATTTAAGTCCATGCCTTCTCCATTCTTAACAGTCTCTAGGAATTTAGTCCTCTTCTGGTACTGAGAGAGAGAGACCTTTACAAATGGAGATTTCCCTTGTAAATGTCTCTTTTACAGAAGGGTAAGGTCTGCTTGGGTTTCAGAACTTTTCCTTTGCTGTTTTTAAAAAATAACCTAAAGTCATTCTTAAAACAAAAAGTCATTACTTTGGGGTGACAAATTCTGCTCCACTTCAGTAGTAAACTGCCTAAATTTATACCACTGGGAAAAATCGTCACAACTCTGAAGTAATGAGATTCAGTAGAGACTGGAATTCTTGACACAAGAGGATAAGATTCTGGTTATCTTTTGTGCAGCTGCAAGTAGTTCTCACTGCCCTTAGGACTTTTGACACAGCTGTACAAAGCATCTCCAACTTTAAAAGAGAAACCTGGGGCTCCTGGCTGGCTTAGTCATTGGAGCCTAAAACTCTTGATCTTGGGGTTGTGGGTTTGAGCCCCACGTTGGGTTTAGAGAGTACTTAAAATCTTTAAAAAAAAGAAACAGAGGAAACCTGGCAAAAGAAACACCTAAATTTACTACACGGCCCACCCCTAGATTATTTCAGGCTGTTCAATTTCAGTTGGCAGTTCATTTGACTATCCTTTTGAATGAAAATAATGAAGTTAGAGCTGCTTCTCTGAGTTTCCTGATGTGTGGTCTTCATAATGGTTATTTGAAACCTATCGTTAGAAAGTTCCTGATATATTAGGCTATTACTATGTGTAAAGGTGGAAATTGGCTTTGATCTGTTTGTTTGCTTAGGTTTCTTCCGTAAGGTAATTTCCTTATTAGCAGCCAATTCAGATTCTTTCAAAGGTGTTAGACTTTCACAAAGTTTCCTCTTAACAGAGACTCGCTAGATTAATGAATAAAACTTTTCAGTGCAATAAGTTACATAGATACAGAATTTTAATTATGAGTAGTCATATGTTTAAGTATTTATTTTCCTTTAGGTGTCTTATGAGACTAAATTTTTCTGTTTTGCAATATAAAAAATATGAATTACCTGTGATACTTGTATTCTGATGTGGCTGGGTTATTTCCCTTCATACCTATAGAAATTGGGTATTGCCATTTTTCTCAAGCTTAGTGTATGGGAAGGAGAATTTCATATCCTCCCTTTTCTCTTCATAAGGAAATGCAGCCTCAGAGTGATCCCTTATTCCAGGCAGTTCAAAGAATTCTGAACCATAAGCTGAGCTTAGTTCCAGGTGAAGCCAATAGTTTTTCAAGCACCAGAATTTTCATTAATTCAAGTAATTTTAGTATAGATATAAATGTCCTATAGCCTAAATGTGTTTTTCTTTTCAAATTACTAACATTATAAGTAAGGTGAGTCATTTATATTTAAACATATATTATTAGGTCCTACTGTGTACAGAACACTACACTAGATAATACAGGAATATTTACAAAAGAAGAAAATATATTGCCTTCCCTATTCATACATGGTACATTCCAGGACACTTTCAGTGCTGTGAGGGTGAAGAGGGATCTGATTCACTGGGAGAATTGATTTGGTATATAAGAATGAGAAGAGCAGTTGACCATCAGGAATGTCTTTTTTTTCCTTAAGATTAAAGGAACAGAGCTTGAAGAAGAAAGGGTATTTTTTAAAAACTTGTTTAAAAAATGTAAATAGATGATAAATTACAGTAATCGTTTACCTTAAAGGAGATAAAATTTTGTACTCCTCAAATAATGTGTCTGGCAGATTTTAAAGAACTCAATAATGGGAGAATCTCCACTAGAGTTGTACTTAATGCAACTTTCCTTAAGTGGGTGCTTTAAAAAAATAATATACATTAGAAGTTAGTGTGTTTGTGTGGTTTTGATTAGTATATCTTATTTTCACTGTGTCATTTGTAACCTTTGTTTATTTATCTTTTAGACTTGGAATGGCCAAATATCAAGGTGAAGTTCAAAGTTTGAAATTGGATGATGATTCAGTCATAGAAGGAGTAAGTGACCAAGTGCTTGTGGCAGTTGTGGTCAGTTTCGCTTTGATTGCTACCCTGGTATATGCACTTTTCAGGTGAGACTAAAGGACAAAAGAATTGAAATAATGTGTATTTTCAAGGGCCACTGCTTTCTGACTACTTCTAGTAATTTTTAATACTTCATTTAAAAAAGTGAGTGAGTAATAGAGCTCAATAACTGTTATGTGGAAATGTTGGAGTTTGGAGCCTACAGCCAAGAAAAAATTCTTGAGATGTCTTCAGTGCAAAAAGGAGGTTTTATTAAAGAATGGGGACAGGATCTGTGGGCAGAAAGAGCTGCACTGGGGTTGTGATGGGTGACTGATTATATACTTTCAAGCTGGGAGGGGTTAGGGATAGCATAAGTCTCTAAAGAATTTTCTTTTTTAAGATTTATTTATTTTACAGAAAGGTGGGGGGTGGCCAGGGACAGAGGGAGAAGGAGAGAAGCAGAATCCCCGCTGAATGCGGAGCCTTACACGGGTCTCAATCTCAAGATCCTGAGATCCTGACCTGAACTGAAACCAAGAGTCAGACACTTAACTGACTGAGCCACCCTGGCACCCCTCTAAGGAATTTTGGAAGCAAGGTTTCCAGGAACTTGAGGGGGCTAAATATTGTTAGGAAAAAGTCATTTATTACTGTCTAATAAAATGTTAGTCATGAGACCCTTCAGATATATATCAGTGGGCCATATTCGTGGAGGATGATTGCTAACATATATCTTGGGGTGGGGGTGGGGGTAGAGATAAAGGAAGTTTCCAAAGGAATTTTTTTTTTTTTTTTAAGATTTTGTTTATTTGACAGAGAGAGACACAGCGAGAGAGGGAACACAAGCAGGGGGAGCCAGAGAGGGAGAAGCAGGCCTCCCACGGAGCAGGGAGCCCGATGCCCGATGCGGGGCCGATCCCAGAACCCTAGGATCATGACCCGAGCCGAAGGCAGATTTTTATATGTTAAAGTAGACTTGCAGGACCCTGTGGGGTCAGGATAATGTTAAGCTAAGATTGCCTTTTGCCCTTCGCAAAGTGTCAACACTGAGGCAGCTGAGTTCCTAGAGGAAGATCACTCTACCTGTTTCAAGGACTTGTCAATGAGCTGTGGGCAGTAGGGAATTTAATTTTTTCTTCGGCCTTTGTTTCTCACATCAATTGTATATTTACTAAGGTATTTTATTTTTCATTAGGATCTAAATGCTATGATATATGTTCCTGTCATCAGCGGTTTCATGAGATAAAATTGAAATACCATATTTTGAATAAAATATTAATATTTTATATAGAAGTATAGTTTAAAAATGTAATTTTCATAATCAAATCCCTCAATTTGTAGGTGATATAGATAATAAGTACAAGATATTTTCACTCTTTAACTAGAAAAACAGGCAAAAAAAAGTTGGACAGAATGGAGGGAATTAAGGTTAAAGTTAAAACTACTGTTTTAGAATCAGGAATAATATTAAAGGCTTCAGGTGTTTATATATCGTTACGTAGAGACTAGGATACAAACTAGAAATTTAAGTGTTAACACATGGAGATAAATAAAATTTTACATATATGTATGTATCATTGAGAACAGAAATAGAAAAAAGTATAAAATACAAAAAAGATTAATTTCAAAAATTACAAATCATATGAGCTTGCTATAAAATTATAGAAAAGATTTTTAAACATCAAAATTCTTAGATATGACACAAAATATGAGCAACGAAAGAAAAAAATAGATAAACTGGACTTCATCAAAATTCCCAACTTGCAGGCACCTGGGTGGCTCAGTCATTAAGCGTCTGCTTCAGCTCAGGTCATGATCCCAGGATCCTGGGGTGGAGCTCCACATCAGGCTCCCTGCTCAGCGGGGAGTCTGCTTCTCCTGCTCCTTCCCGCCTGTGCTCTCTCTTGCTATCTCTGTCTCTCTCAAATAAATAAATAAAATATATTAAAAATTCCAACTTGCATGCTTCAAAGGACATCATCAAGAAAATGAAAAGGCAGGGGCACCCTGGGTGGCCCAGTTGGTTAAGCATCTGCCTTCCACTCAGGTCATGATCTCAGGATGCTGGGATCAAGCCTCACATCGGCCTCCCTGCTCAGTGGGTGTCTGCTTCTTCCTCTGCCCATTCCCCTGCTTGTGCTCTCTCTCTCTCTCTCTCTGTGAAATAAAGTAAAAATCTTTAAAACAAAAAAAAAAAAAAGAAAGAAAATGAAAAGGCAAGCTGTAGAATGGGAGAAAATATTTCAAATCATATATCTATACAGTACTTGTTTTTTGTTTTTAAGTAGGTTCCACACCCAGCATGGAGCCCAGCATGGGGTTTGAACTCATGACCCTGAGATCAAGACCTGAGCTGAGATGGGGTTGGACACTTAACCAACTGAGCCAACCCGGGCACCCCTATCTATACAGCACTTGTATCTAGAATATATAAGGACCTCAGAACTCAGTAATAAAAAGCCAAATAATGCAATTAATAGCCAAAGAATGTGAATACACATTCCTTCAAAGAAGATATGCTAATGGCCAATAGGAACATGAACTATGCTTGATGTTGTTAATCATCAGAGAAATGCAAATCAAAATCACAGTGAGATACAATTTCATACCACTAGAATGGTTCCAATCAAAAAGTCAAATAATGATAGTTGTTGAGAATGTGAGAAGATTGGAAACCTCACACACTGATAGTGGAGATCTAAAATGATACAACCTCTTTGGAAAACTATCAGTTCCTCAAATGATGAAAATAGAGTTACCATGTAATGTAGCAGTTTCACTCCTAGGTGTATATATATATACCCATGAGAAATGGAAACACATCTCCACACAAAAACTTGTAAAAGAGGGGTTCCTGGGTGGCTCAGTCAGTTGTCTAACTCTTGATTTCTGCTCAGGTCATGATCTCAGGCTTGTGAGATTGAGCCTCGCATCAGGTTCCATGCTGGGTGTGGAACCTGCTTAAGATTCTCTTCACGCTCTCCCTCTGTCCCTCCCCCCATCCTCTCTAAAAAAACCAAACCAAACAAAAAAAACAACACTTACACAACAATGTTCGTGGCAGCATTATTAATAACAGCCAAAAAGTGGAAACAGCCCAAATATCCATCAACAAATGAATGGATAAGCAAATGTGACATATACACAGAATGGAATATTTTTCAGCAATAAAAAAGAATAACATACTGACACATGCTACATCATAGATGAAACTTCAAAACATTATGCTAAGTGAAGTAAGTCAGATAAGGCCACATATATGAGTCTGTTCATATGAATGTGCAAAATAGGGAACTCTGTAGAGACAGGAAGCAGATTAGTGGACTGGAGTGGAAGATCAGGATATAGGGAATTATAGCTAAGGGGTACAGAGTTTCCTTTTGAGTTAATGGAAATATTCTAAAATTGTGCTGGTTACGTATATGTGTGAATATGCTAAAAACCATTGAATTGTAAATTTTGAATGGGTAAATTGTGTGATATGTGAATTATATTTCAATAAAGCTGTTTAAAAAATGAGTCATGACTAGGCATGAGTACTGCTCTTTATTAAGAATGAGATAGATCTTGTGTAAACTCCACAAGGGGAGAAATTTTTATCTGGTTTGTTCGTGGATATATCCTCAGAGCCCAGAAGAGGGCCTGGCACACAGTAAGCATTCAATAAATATTTTTTTTAAAATTTTTTTTAAAGATTTTATTTATTCATTTGAGACACAGATTCAGAGAGAGAGAGAGAGAGCATGAGCAGTGGGAGAGGCAGAGGTAGAGGGAGAAGCAGACTCCCTGCTGAGCCAGGAGCCCGATGTGGGGCTCGATCCCAGGACCCTGGGATCATGACCTGAGCCATCTGAGCCACCCAGGCGCCCCAGCATTCAATAAATATTAACTGAATGAACTCTGATGTATATACCTACTCATAACCTGCCTCCATTTATCCTACTTTATCTCCCATTCAATTTAATAAAAAAATTAAAAAAAAAAAAGAATGAGATGCAGTTATAACTTTATCATGTGGAAGTATCCATGATAAATTGTTGAGTGAGAACTGATGATTGAAAGACACATCACAAAACCATAAGTCAAGTAAACCGTACTGTTTAAAAATTATTTTTGATAAAATTAATTTTATTT